GATGATCAATTGGGGAGAGTTTAAAGTCGGTACAGGAAACCTCTGTGGGGACAGCCCTCCATTCCGAAACCCTGCCATTCCAAAACCCCGCCGTTCCGAACCACCCCCACTCTGAAATTGATTTTCAAGTCCATATCGAGTTTCCTGCATCAAACACTGCCGCCTGCTCTCCGGCCGCACTCGCACAATTCCGAAATTCGTTGTACTACAAAAGCTTGAAATGAATGTTCAACTCATTGTTTTTTATTGAAAATATGTCACTGTCTTCATTTATTATATATAATTTTGCTAGCAGCAAACACATTTAGAGGAGACACTTGTCAAGTCTTTTTACGCGCGCTGTCCGTGGTGCTGAAATCCCCGCTGCAGCTGCCGCTCCTGCTGACAGCAGACCGGGGGAGAATAAAAAAGACATTTCTTTGCTCTGTGCTTTCAGAAAATAACCAGGGTTAGGATAAGAAAGACCAACGGTCTGTACAGCAGTCCCACTGTGTTTGTCAGGGCATATCAGGCTGTGTGATTATGCACAAAGATTGGTTTAACGCATTGGAGCAATTTAATACAATTTTGGACATTTAACATGGTAAACTAATTTCAATTCAACATGGTCATTTGCTTAGAGGATTCAGCTGAAGCATAATGAGTGTTATATGTCATTAAGATGAAGTATTTGCTTGTTTTGTGGTTAATTATACACATGATCCGTTTGACCCCATCATGCGGTCCGTTCGTCCCTGCAGACAGGGGCAAAAGGATCAATGCGCAGCCTCCGTTTCCTTTGCGTCCGTCTTGTTCGTTCAAACTTTGTAAACACGGTTGGGATTTGTAGGGGACATATGTATGCTGCTCACTATAAAATGTGTTTACTATAAATAAATGCATCTCTGTGCAGAGAGGTAAATATTAAAAAGTGATCCGTTCATTCCCGCCCTCCCCATAAATGAAGACAGTGACATATTTTCAATAAAAAACAATGAACGTTCATTTCAAGCTTTTGTAGTAGGCTACAGCTTATTTCAGAATTGTGAAAGCGCAGCCGGAGAGCAAGCGGCAGTGTTTGATGCAGGAAACTCGGAGAAATATGGACTTGAAAATCAATTTCGGAGTGGGGGGGTTTCGGAATGGAGGGGTTGTCCCCAATATTTGGAATAGCGGGGCCTTTAGAAAAAATGGGAAACCCCGCCATTACGAAGAATGGAGTTCTATTTTCAGAAAGGCGGGGTTTCAGAAAGGCGGGGTGTAACCAACCTCTGTTACAGAAGGACATGGTATTAAATTTAACGTGGATGGAATCTTTGCCTCAAATGTTGCGACAGACAACGCTATCTGATAAACATCTAGTATAGTAACTGTTGCTGAGTGGCGTGTAATCTAAGACTGTTAGGTTATCAATTTCAATTCCGCACGTCAGAACTAGATCGAGGGTATGGTTAAAACAGTGAGTGGGTTTATGTACTGACTGAAGCCAGTAGTGCAGCAGATAATTGCGTATTTCACAAGTATTGTTCAAATTGTGACACAACCATGAAATTTGGCACAAATACTCTTCTAGGTCCACTCTTTTGAAAAAGGGTGCTGGCCACTCAAAAATTCATAATGGACGCCATTTTTCAAGATGGCTTCCAGGTGTTGTACCAATATGTCCTATATCGGCATGTAATTGTTATGGAATAAATTCATTTGGGTCTAAACTGTTTTATAGGTCTCACATTTCATTATTATAAGTGTTGTTTTTGTCATCACTGATATTTAGTAGTTGGAGAAAAGCTTAGTTTCATAGAGTGAATGTCAATGCACAACCAGGGCACAATGGTGACATCACTGCTGTGGAACTCAGCATGGGGTTTAGTGTCAGCTAGTTGTTGACTAATAGTGATAGTATAAATTAACTTAGTGTCCCAAATGCTGTCTAACAGCCCCCTTCAATTAGCTATTAAAAATAGTAAGTAGATGTAGTTAGATAGCCGTGCCTGAATTGAGCCTAGGGTAAGCGGGGCTGTACATGACTCATTCATGTACACTTACCCGGAAGATGTACAGATCACATGGGACTTAAATGGTCCTGGATGAATGATCAGGCTAGGTGTAGGTCACCCGAACCTCCCATATCTGAATGTGCAGTATCGCTTTGATTAAGGTGGTAAAAGGATAAACCCTCGGCCTTAATCAGAAATCAATCCTCAAAGAATGGCAAATGCAAATCCAGTGTTAGCCAAGAGGCAAACTGATTGGAATACATGTTGTCTTTATAAAGACAAAAGAAATGAAGTCCTTGTATCACCTCCTATCCATCATGTTCCTCAACATGATGGCTATACCATGCTTGCCACCAATGTTCGACTCTTTCATGAGATCAATGAAATGCCGATGATCATGGACCCGGCAAAGCTGGATGAAGAAACTGGTCAACTACACTGTAGAAACCAGTCTCAGTTCTGATGGTCCTGCCATTTCCAGTCAACCCAGCGTCAGCCAGAAGCAGAGAGTCCTGCTGACTGGGGATGGAGGAAGGTTGATGAAGAATGGCGGGTCTTCTGGACAGCCAATTCACCAGTTGCAGAGAGTTGTCAACAACTCACCAAGTGTGGCTGCAAATCAGGGTGCTGTGGAAGGTGTAGATTGGGTTTCATCTGCACAGCACTGCAAATGTGAGTAGAACTAACAACTTTAACAAAATGCACCGTGAAAATAAAAAAAAAGAGAGAGAGAGAGAAAAAAATTAATAATAAAAAAAATTAAAGCTGTTTCAGGCAAAGTAACATCCCTATAAAAAAATTGACCACAAAAATCTGGGTTTAGACCATAAACAGTTGAGTGGCCAGCGCCTTTTTCCAAAAGCGTGGCCCTTAGAGAGTATTTGTACCAAATTTTATGCTTGTGTCACAAAGTGAACGATTTTTTCAGTTATCTGCTGCACTACAATGGAGTGTAATAATGAGATAAACGCGGTAGCCAGAGAGTCATTATCAATAATAACTTTATCTGATTTAATCAATCAATCAATCAGTTTTATTTATAAAGCCCAATATCACAAATCACAATTCACAATTTGCCTCACAGGGCTTTACAGCATACGACATCCCTCTGTCCTTTGGACCCTCACAGCGGATAAGGAAAAACTCCCCAAAAAAAACCCCTTTAACGGGGAAAAAAAACGGTAGAAACCTCAGGAAGAGCAACTGAGGAGGGATCCCTCTTCCAGGACGGACAGACATGCAATAGATGTCGTACAGAACAGATCAGCATAATAAATTAACAGTAATCCGCATGACACAATGAGACAGACAGAGAGAGAGAGAGAGAGATGCAGGTAATTACAGTAGCTTACAACAACATTATTGAAAGTAATAATATTATAGTTATAGTTCTGGCTACTGTGGTACAATATGTTGAAAGTATGTATTAATATCTGGCAGTATACATGTGTGACAATAGTCATGTGTATAATAACAGTAGAAGTATGACTAATGACTAATGATGGCAGCAGCAGCAGGAGGCATCTGGCAGGACCACGGCAGCAGCACAACCACACGTCACGCTATCCAGGCATCGCTGCGATATGAGTTAATCTGAGAGACAGTGGAGCACAAAGGCTCCGGAGAAGAAGCCGAGTTAGTGACATCCAGAATGGCTGAGTTAGCAAGATGCAGTAATAGAATACGAGAGAGAGGGAGAGAGAGAGAGAAGGAGAGAAGGTGCCCGGTGTATTATCAGGGGGTCCTCCGGCAGACTAGGCCTAAGTCAGCCTAACTAGGGGCTGGTACAGGGCAAGCCTGAGCCAGCCCTAACTATAAGCTTAAGAACGAAACTGGATAAAAACTCTGAGAATTCAGACACAAATCCAGAATAAGGGCCAGGAGCACGGTACACTATAACAAATAGAAGTGGCTGCAAGGTTTTCCAGGTCGGATGCAAAAGACTAAAAACAAGGCTTTCAAATGAATTACAATCTAGTTCAGGTTTAGGGCTGATTAACAGACTAGAGTTAAATATGGCTGCAACTCCCCCTCCTCGGCCGCTGCCTCGAGGAATGTGGGTATTATTATGACTGGGAGGAGTGCACAACTCCTCTTTGTTTAATTTTAGATTTAGATAATTTAGGTGGTCGGGGGACAGACACCGTTTGTATAAAACTATGGGTTGTCCCCTAAGAAAGTCTTTTATAGCTTTGATTTTTTAAAATCAGAATTTAATTCTTCCTGTTGTCCCTTTTTGCCTCTTTTACTGCTCTTCTTACATTGTAGGCTGCTGCTTTAGGCTGCTGCCCATCTTTCCAGAATGCAGTTCTAATTTATAGGCTTAAAGAGATAGTGCACCCAAAAATGAAAATTCAGCCATTATCTACTCACCCATATGCCGATGGAGGCCCTGGTGAAGTTTTAGAGTCCTCACATCCCTTGCGGAGATCGACGGGGGGAGCGACTAGCACACCTAATGGCAGACGGCGCCCCAGACTAAAGGCCAAGAAGAACAATTGAATCCACAAAGTATCTCCATATTGCTCATCCATAGTGATCCAACTGTGCTGCAGCCACGACATAAAAAGTTGTTTCGAAAAACGTCATATGAACTCTGTTTTTAGCCTCACTGTAGCCTGTAGCTCTGACTGCTTCTCTGTGCTCCGCGCTCACGTGTGCGCGCTTGCCTGAGACCAGCGAAAGCATGAGCTTTGCTCACCCGTGTTTACATCACGTGACACGTGCACCGCAGGGAGAGACAACAGTAACCACAGAGCTAAAAGATAATTTGCAGCTTTAAAGACATGATGTGTGTCAGTGCACATGTTGCATTGCTGCTAGTGACACTAAAATACATTAATTTGTCTCAAAAGTGTCAGGGTGACTTTTAATCTTAATGAGTGGCTATAGTCCGAAATGTTAAAATCCAGCACAATACGAGTTTTGGCATAATTTCATCAAGATTAAATAGATTAATTTCATGAGTTCACGTAACTGTTTACAACATTTTTGACAACACTGTTTGTGATTTTTGTCTACTAGTTTTGAGGCCTGTGAAGCCGCCTCGCCAAACTCCCCACCACAATCACCGCCAGCACCCTCAGCAGCCCGTCCTGCCCCGCCTGGAGCGAGAGGAGAACCACAGAAACCTCCTGCCTCAGCCCTCACCTGGAAGTATGTTCACTGTTTTCTCAGCTCAACCTACCCCATCCTCCATCAAGCTAAGCCTAGCTAACCAAATGTTAAAAGCTAACACAAGCTAATGTTAAGGGGAAGCTCAGATATTTCTGGGAAAACTGAGGAAACTTGCTTATATCTTCCCTTATATATAACACAAGCAAGCATGCCTGTTCCTCAAAAAATTACTTAATAAAGCAACATATTCTCATAGAATGGTTTACTAACCAAAAACCTCACCAATAAGATAAAGATTTCTAATGGTTTATTACATATAATGTCTTATGGGTTCAGAGGAAAGCGTTAAGGGGTGAGGATCGAGGGATTCGAAAATGAAAGGATGAGGATGGGGGAGGAAGGGATGAGGGTCGAATGGATGAGGGATGAAGGGTTGAGGGATGAACAGATAAGGGGCGAGGTTCAAATGGATGAGGGATGAAGGGATGAGGGTCGAATGCATGAGGGATGAAGGGATGAGGGTCAAATGGATAAGGGATGAAGGGTTGAGGGATGAAGGGTCAAATGGATGAGGGATGAAGGAATGAGGAGTGAAGGGTTGAGGGATGTAGGGATGATGGGATGAGGGTCAAAGGCCAGATGGATGAGAGGTTAGGGATGACAGGGTAAGGATCAAGGGATGTAGAGTGAGGAATGAAGGGATGAGGGTTGAGGGATGAAGGCTGGGTTCCTGGATAGCAGGCGAGCGCGATGATGAATGTGTTGGGTCAAAGGTAGGAACGCAGGAGGGATCCCGGGAGTGAGACTGAGTGGGTATAGATATAGATAGAGATATAGATAGAGCCCCCAAGAGAGCTTCAAGAGCGCAGGGAAGTTTCAGATGTTGTTTGGATCGTCATGTGCTGTTTTCTGAAGAAGACAGTGCCCCAGAATCTTAATGTGGTCAAGAATTTTCTGCCTATAAATGGTTAAAGTGGCTCCATGCGAAGAGACAACCCACGTAAAAACCAGTTGAAAGAAGGTGGTGCTGGTGCTGGTGCCAGTACTCAGAATTTCTAGAATTAATGATGGGAAAACAAGAGTCGGCGATTGAGGATATGGGATGCTCGGATTGATGAATTGGTGCAGGTATGAGGCCAGGGTGAATGTCTGCATGAATAGCATGTTGTTAAGTGAATGCAATCATGCCCCCAAAGGGATGGCTGCTATAGAGACTGGGTACGTTTTGTAGGTTGTGGACGAAGGGGTGGGTGTGGCTGAGTTTGTGTACAGTTGGATGACTCCTGGCTTAGTGTGATCATCACGAAAGGGGATGTCGTTCTGGGAGAATTTTCGGACTGGTGTTGTTTAAGCTTCTTGGGTGATGATAGAGATGAAGAAGTTTTAATGTGTCGTAGCAGTGAAGAAGTTGGGCAGGAAGGAAATTTCAAAAGACTAAATGGGCTTTCGCGTCAGGGACCCGGGCCCAGATCTGTGCATGCTTAACCTCAGTCAGGTTCTTTCGATAAATGTGAAGAGTTAACACCGCATCAGGGAACAGAACACTGACCCCTGTTCAAGTCCGCTTGAGAGGTTAATCTCAGGAGTTCATGGTATGCAGTATGGTTCCAGCACGGAACATGTCAAGTGTGAAAATCAACTATGCCAAAAACATGACTGCTGGGCAATCATATTATCATATTTGGGGACAGCATGAATCACTCGTACCTGATATGGCAACACTTAACAGAATTTGGGCGGATTTGCTTGGTGGGCAGGGATGCTTGGATTGAGATGGGGTCGGGGGAAGTGGATGATGACAATGCCCAGGGAGAGAGGGGATTGAAAGGAAGGATGAGTTGGAGGGAAAGGGAAGGTGGGTGAAGAAAACTGAAACGAGGGCCTACTTAAATACGATCTAGTTAATGATTTTTATGTTAAAAAGCAATGAAAATTTTGATTACAAGAAAGACAACGGAAACCAATTGTGTGAGGAGGAAAACAAGGTATAAGTAGTAAGGCGTTGTCCTGCTCCCAGACTTAAGCCAACTAGTAAACTGGCTTACTAGCATGGACTGTACCATGACCAAGCGATCTGTAAAGATTTAATGAGATGGGGAAATATGAAATGTTGAGGAAGGATAAATGAATGAGCAAAGGGGATAAACATGGGGCAGGAGGCTGTCCATTAATGTTTGTCTGGGACAGATATAAGAGGGTCTGGGAGGAGGAAATTGTTACCACTATTGCAAGCGTGGGAGCGAATGTGGTGGCCAGTGGTGGAGGCTGCATTGATTTATTTCTAAGGAGTGAGAACTAGAGAGAGTTGAAAGTATGAAGCTGCGTTAGAAAAACTGGGACGAAATGTAAGGTTGTAGATGCGTTCGGGGGAATTTGGAGCACTGCGGGAAGTGACCAGCGGTGAAAGCTGCATTGATTTACTTTTTGGGAGTGAGAACGGAGAGAGGGAGTCTGAAGTATGAAGTTGTGTTTGAAAAACTTGGACGAGGTGGAGGTTAGATGCACTGGGGCGAATTTAGAGCACTGCAGGCAGTGATTAGCCATGGGGGCTGCGTTTATTTACTTCTCGGGAGTGATAACAAGAGAGAGTCGAAAATATGTTATATAATATATAAGTTGTGTTAATAAAACTGGGAAGACGTTTAGTCATAGATGCATTGGGACGAATTCGAAACACGGTCCATGAATGCTACAGAGGGATTGACTAGGGGGGTGGGGAGCCTGAAGAGAATAGATGCAGGTGTTGTAAATTAAGATGAACAGATGAGGGTCGAGGGTCAAATGGATGAGGGATGAAGAGTTGAGGGATGAATGGATGATGGACAAGGGTCAAATGAATGGGGGATGAAGGTTTGAGGGACCAAGGGGTGAGGATGTAAGTCTTAACACGGGCCTGACCTCGTAATAGATCTAATCCAATTAAAGTATCTAATTGGCTATCTGAAATAATTAATAATTATTAATAATGATTATTGATTATGTTAAAGAATGTGACTTAACTTACCTTAAATCACCCCGTGGGGCACCATTCCCAAAAAGGGAAAATGATAGCCAGTTAAAGATATCAGTCTCATGAAGTTCACTAAACTATCAATTTGGAATTTTGATTAATAATTAAATTAATAACAATAACCAAATTAAATAGTAAAGCCTGAGGGATTTCGGAGTTCTTGATGTAGCAGAGATTGACTATTCATTCACTCTTGTACAACATTAAACAGACAGCAGGTATGATTCCAAAAGATATATATTTATTCATAAAGGAAGCAAACAAAACACACAGATTCTAACTAACTATAGACAAGCAGTGTGTGTGTGTGTGTGTGTGTGTGTGTGTGTGAGTGAGAGAGAGAGAGAGAGAGAGAGAGAGAGAGAGAAAGAGAGAGGTGTGTTGATCAAAGGGCAGTTTGGCCTACAAAACAAAATGGCTGACAACGGAGATCTACAAGCTGGCCAAATCAAAGCTGGCTTCAGATCAGGGGAGGTGTTGTCTGACCGTGTGGTCACAACAAAGACAAAGGAAAAGAAGCAGGACTTTGAGTTGCCTGTTTGGGTGTAGCTCTGTTGAAAGCCTATTTTTAACTGAGTCTATGTGAATGTGATATGTGCTGCAAAGGGTGTGGATTAGTGCAGAGGATGTTTACATGCGTGCAAGACGTTGTCTGTGAACAGCATTAGCAAACTTAACACTTAGCTTTGGAGAAGCCAATTAACCAATGACCTGACTGCACACAATCACAACAATGACTCATAAACAGCATTAAATCACATTCAACAAGTTAAACAGTCTTGCTTAGCCTATACACCTGTGTTAACGCTATGCCCAGTAGTTACATCACTAGTCCTTGAATGGATGGAGGGAAGAGTTGCTTTGAGGTGTGCTGCTTTTGTTAGCCAGCAGGGGAAGGCTGGAAAGAGCTGTTGTTCCAGATGCAGTCTTTGATGTGTCCTTGTTCCAAAGGTGCAGATCCGAGGAAGCCGGTCCCTCAGGGTCAGTGCAGAGTTAGACAATGGGGTGCTAACTCAACTTGGTTCTCCTTGTTGCTGAAAAGGTAGTTGCAAAACTTGCGTTTGCGCACTAATTTCTCTGGTTTCCAGGTTATGGTCCAGGGGAAAGAGAGTCTGTGAGCAATTGCCCTCCCTTTAGTGGTTCGGGGGCAAGGGCATGGGTCTGAGCTGGCAGCTCAGGAGGAAGGAGGCCTGTCTGGGCCCAGGAGGAAAGAGAGCCTGTCTGGGCTGCTCAAGACCCAGGAGTTAAAAGAGCACCTCTGGGCTGATCCACAGCTCAGGACGAAAAGGAAGATTTATGAGTGAGCACAACTTTCCTAAAGTTTGCTTGGTGACATCACAGAGGGTCATGTCACTGTCAAAGTCCTGTCCAATCAAGTTTGACAACTGGTCTCACTTGGGTGTGACCATGAGGCATCCTGTGGAGATGAGTGTCAAATAGCTCTCTTTGTTTTAAGAACAAAGAGCATGCAGAGAAGAAAAGCCTTTACATATCAAGTTTAGATTTTAACAAATGACAAATCTTATGTGGTCCCGTGAATCCCAACACAGGGCTATGAAGGTCGGAAGTCGGTGGCAAGCGTTTGCCATAAGAGCAGAAACCTTTGGCAAGTGTTTAACATGAGAATGTATGTAGCGATTTGCAACTGCCAGTGGCTAGATTAATGGAAAGCTGGTTCTGAAGACATACAGTGCCCTCCAAAAGTATTGGAACAGTGAGGCCAATTCCTTTATTTTTGTTGTAGACTGAAAATATTTGGGTTTGACATCAAAAGATGAATATGGGACAAGAGATCAACATTTCAGCTTTTATTTCCAGGTATTTACATCTGGATCTGATACACAACTTAGAAGATAGCACCTTTTGTTTGAACCCACCCATTTTTCATGAGAGCAAAAGTATTGGAACATGTGACTGACAGGTGTGTTTTGTTGCCCAGGTGTCTCCCAATTACATTGATTATTCAAACAATAAATAGCACTGAATGTCTGAGCTCAGTTTCAGATTGGGTACGATAGGTTTTGCCTGT